AAAATACAATTAAAACAGAGTTCTAATAGGTTTAATATAGGATTTGTATATGTGATAGCAATATGATAGGGTTAAAAATAAAATAGCTTTTCTATAGGGATAAAATAGAAAGTAAAATAGGGATAAAATAGGGTTAAAATAGTGTTGATTTTCGTAAGTGCAGACATTATATGACAATGCAAAATTGTTTGCTAAGCGTTTATCTCTACATGCAGTGTCAATGGAAGCAAATTATCCAGCCTGCGGGAGCGGGGAAATGGGGCCACCAAAGGAAGGGGTTTGGTGTCATATTATTTAGGTCTGAACGTTAGCTTGAAAAATTTATTTTATGAACTGATTCAGGCTGACTCAGCAGTTAGTCACTTCACATTTAGTTAAGTCATTGCACATTATGTCGAATCAATTAAAAACTAGTTGAATCACTTCACTACAAAACGCGCCGAGACCTCGCAAATTACATCAATTCAAAATACATCAAATCATTTTACATCGCACCCCGTCGTTTGACATGCACTTGAATCAACTCACTTTTAGTTGAATCGTTCACATTTAGTTTAATTATTTCACATTTATTTGAATCGTTACACATTATATTGAATCAATTCATGTTATATTGAATCAATTTGCATTTATTTAAATCGTTTCACATTTAGTTGAATTGTTTCACATTTAGTTGAATTGTTTCACATGGTGTTCAATAAATTCACATTAAGATGAACCAATTTACTTTCAGTTGAATCGTTTCGAATTCAGTTGAATCATTTCACAACATGGTAACGGTTTCAAAATGGCATGAACCATTTAACAACTAAGCGAATAATTTGTTCGTGACTTGTTAAATCAAAACACGTTGAACTATTTCACATTGTCTCTAAGAATCAAGACAACACTAATCTGATTATAGCACTGCTAAATGAATTGTTTCAAGATTAAATGAATTATTTCTAATCTTGTCCAGTCACGTGACTACGTTATGTTCAATCATTTCTAAACACAATGAATCATTTGTGTTTGTAATAAATCATTTCTGTTTATGTCCATTCATTTCACACATGTTAAAGATTCAATTAAGAGTATTTCTTACATAGATACATTGATGTTGGACTGGAGTTTTATATACTTTTATATAGTGACTTTTCATAACGTAATGTTTTTGTAGATACTAACTTGTTATGTATTATATATAGTATTTTTTTATGCAGAACCTGCATGAAAACCACGTATGTGATTGGAAATTCCTTTTAAATATTACTACAATAAAAATTTTAAAAAAGTTGTCTTTCCGCCTGTTTTTATCATGTTCAAGTTCACTATGCTCGCCATAAGTCATTCTTAAGGTTTTCTGAATCCGAATTTAATGCAGGATCTTGCACAGTAACGAGAAAATTTACCGCCTTTGTGACTAATTCATGCGTAATCTAGAATTTTTTCTTTCTTTCGAATCAACAGGTATGCATGTTTTTGCACTGCCATAAGCCAACCAAAGAAAGCATCTAGTCTATTATATTCATATCATTTAAACAATGGCGACTGGCGTAGTCGGCTTCACCATGCAAACATTCATACAATATTCAAGCTATGAATAATGTAAACCGCAGAGTAATATATTGAAAGAGAAAGCAAAGCTAAAGCGAAATTGAAACTTGGCTTGCGATGACTGAGCAGCGAGCATGGCAAGGAAGCAATGGGATAATTTGAAACAAAAATGGTAATTAACATGTCATGATAAATGGCCACCTAATATAACATTGTATTATATGAAACGACTTTCATATTAATAAACTTGAAGTTACTATCGCAAGGAAATTGCTGCATCTGCATTTCATATTTCACAATATGACAACAGTCGTCGCGCACATCTCAACCAATAAAATTGAACGCAATCAATAACAAAACAAATACATATAATTAATAACAAACGTCATATGAACAGAATTTCCCAAGCACACTATGAAATCGTCATTAACCCTAAACTGTAAAGAAGCTGACGATTTTAAAGTCGTTATCCTTTCATAGGACAATATTTCCACTTTACTTAGTGCAACGTAAGACACCCAGCGGTTTTTTCAGATTTGCCAATATGTATCCATGCTTTTGGCAAAGTAAGTCCTTGGCTTTTGTGAATAGTTAAAGCCCAAGCAAGCTTGAGAGGCAACTGTTGTCTCTCATGAAAACCATTTTCGGTTTGGGCAGAAACAGTAACTGGCGGAATAGGAACACACGAAGGTTGGGCTTCACTAAATGAGGGACCTCTATAGTCCTCAAACATTACAATTACAACAATAGCAATTCTGGTGGTCGACGATCGCTTTGAAAAATGAAATCAACAACTGTTCCAGTAGCTCTATTGCACCGACCAACAATAGACCACAGGTTCATTGTTTAAATACTCTTTTGCTTTTGCCCTTTTAATTAGCTGTTGCCGTTGGGCTTCTGTTTCTACAATAGCATTTTCAAGAAGCAAATTACTTTTACTCATGCTATAATCATGACAGGCATGGTTCAATTGCACAAACTCAACAGGTGTGATCTCAAATGCATTTCGATTTAAAAGACATGACAAAGAGTGAAAATGATACTCTAAATCATCAATATTCTCATAAGACATAACAGCAGCTATCAGAGCTATGCCATTGGGATTTAGGCATCCCATGCTCGTCTCCTCCATGCGAGTCAAATACGTAAAATATAGCCGGAGTCTATTCCAAAAATGATACCTATCATATAGCCTTGCAATATCAATATAGCATATTTATATTGTGAAAGACCCGGATAGGATCAGTTTACAAAGTGACCTGCGCTGAATGCCCCGCAACTTATTTCGGTGAAACTGGACGTACTCTAGATTGTCGCATTAAAGACATAAGCGATCAACAGAGAAACAAGACGTGGCGAATAGAATTGCAGTTCATCATGTGGAAACAAATCATAGAAACGATTGGGAGTGAGCCACTTGTATCGAATTTAATGGTTCTGAGGATGAAAGAATGTTCTTGGAAAGCTGGTTTACAAAATGGGATGAAAACAGCATTAACATTTGCCGCGATATGCCAGGAGCATACGCTGGACTGATCACGCATAAACGCAGGCTATCATGTCTTGAACGCAGGCGCGAACAAACAACATCACGAACACGCGCACGTCATTTTTGACGCAAGATAAAATTATTATAACTGTAAATTTTTTGTAACTGTAATACGTCTTTGATAATGGCTGCCGTGTAGGTAGCCGAAACGTCAGAAATAATTAAAGAAATTTAATCTGAATGATCGTACAATAAACTAAATTGATGAATGAAGTGTAACATAAGGAGTGCCAACAGTCTCAACTCCATCATTGTTTCGAATGAAACCTTAGGTACATGCGAGTACCAAGTGACAAAATGTTATCGACACTTTGACAGTTCCACTCGCACACGGGAATTGTTTAATGTTCAACAAACAGAGCTATTAGACTAATAAATGAGCACTGTTTTCCACGAGAATCGTTAATAAAACGTTCATCACCTAGATGGACACTTCCACATGTAGGTAAAAAGCCGGCATTATATTAACCATAGGAAAACAAAATAAAACTTTTTTATTTACCGAAAACCTTTGCTTGTCGGATACTTCGAACTCGCAGAAAAGAGAAATCACGAGGTGTAGAGCGCCCTCGTTAACTTTTACAGTAATCAGCTGGGCGCTTGACAGTAATATTATGGTTTAGCGCTCTATGAAAACCCGCACCATTGTTCTATGCTGGTATCTTGAGCTATAATATGTTCACTGGGATATTTGGTTATAATTTTTTAAAAATCTGTAGCCCATCGCTAACTGCACATGCGCGTTAGGTTAAACAAAAAGCTAAACTAAGTGTGCTATCTAATGCTACTTGACCTACAAATATCTAAAACCAACATTATCAAGTGTTTACGTGGCCGTTTATTCAAGGCTCGTTCTTTTTTAATTTCCTATTTCGTCATGTGTTAGTTGATGAAGTTGATGTATCAGCAATATTTAGCTTTACCATATAATATAATATTTATATTAATATTGTTCGAACGAAGCAGTTTCCTGCCGGCTGCGATATACTGTCTCTTTAAAACAATCACTCTCTCTAGACTGAAACTCCATATACACGAGTAAAGGATAAATTCAAAAGCGCAGCAAAATTTAAATGGTTTAAAGAGCATTAACGCCAGATCCCTCAAGCCGTAAATTCGCCCATACCTGTGTACACTATAAATTTAAATGTCAACTTGTTAAAAACGTACGTTTGGGTCAGCTTCAAACTTGTTTAGCAAAATAATATGCACTTCAAACAATGCTGACTTGCTGCGACATTGCAGTAAAAGAGCTTCCAAGGAAGTATAATAAATATGTTGTAGTGACAGAATTAGAATGTACTTTTAAGTAAATTTTAACCCGTTTTATATCTCAATAAATGTGCCATTGAAACGACGTTAACTTGTTGTGTCATATATACACACAATGAGTTTCGTCGCAAGTAACTGAAATAATAAATGTTCTAACATTTATAACTTTAACGTTGCCAGAGGTTTTGCTAATTTACAATGCATCTTATAAGATTTAGAGAATTACACTAACCTTGAAAAGTATTGACGATAGCGCAGGTCGATTGTGGAATGTTTGTTATATATGCGTGAGGAACTGTGCTTCAACGGACACGTAACACAGCGTTGTTTATGCTGTATTATGCTGAGACACGAGCAAAGCGCTTGCACAATCAGTTTTTATGGCAACAACTGTGTAGACGTATAAATAATTCAAACACCAGATGCGCATTTTAGAAAGATAAGTGGCGCCTTAATTCCCTTACTAAACCTAAATATAATGTTCATAAGGTTATATTTTTCCAGCTATTTCAATAGGCAATCGATTTCATCAGGTTTTAAAATTATAACTCCAATTAAACTATAACTCCACAGGAAATTGAAGATAGAATTGGTTTCTGCGTGCGCGGTTCTACTGAACGCAGTCACGTGCGTTGCATGAGCTGATTTACTAATCGCGCGAGAATGAGTTGATCACAAGGATCTCTGAATATTATCAAACCTTAACCAGTGTAAAATACTACAGTGATACAACTAGCGTTATAAAGAATTCTTCTTTTTAAGTATATGTACGAGAAATATATCTGCGTCCTGAATGAACTAAAGCTTCAACTACTGACGCTAATATCCCGTTGTTTCTATTATTAGATGGCTTTGCTCTTATTATTACAATTGTTTATATTAAAATTGTTTATATTTAATTTTTTAACATTACTACTGAGGTAAAAATCAGTCGAAATGCACCATGAATTCTTGACTGAAGCCCTCCCTTGAGACAACGTTGGTTTCAATATTAAAAATGTTTCTGTAAAAGAGACAAAGCGAGGAATGGTTACTTGTGACAACAAGAATCATCCTCCAAATGAATCGAAAAATTTCACACCGCAGGCTATCATTATGAACCATCCGGGTGTAATCCATTTCGGATATAGTCCTGTTTTGGATTGTCACGCTGCTCATATTGCGTGAGAGTTCTCAGAACTAAAAGAAAAGATTGATCGTCGAAATAGTAAAACGACGAAAGCACACCCCAATGTTAAAGAAAGTTGATTCTGGCATTGTTATAATAGCGCCGTCTAAACCAATGTGTTTCGAAACGTTCGTCGACTATCTACAACTTGGAACGTTTGCCGTGCGTTGCGTGACATAAAGCGCCCTGTTGCTGTTGCAAGAAAAGAAGTGTTGAAAAGGGCGACGGAAGTTCTGGTAAAGTAACCAAGGCTGCACAGAAAGGTGGAAAAAAATAATTTCACAATCTGGAACTTTGCACCTGAGATTTCATTTTTGATAAAAATGCCTGTTTGATGGAGAAACTATCTATCATTTTTTGTTTTCCATTTGACGAAACTTTGAGTGCAATAAAGGCGCAATATTTGAATTAATGGTATATATTATCATATGGTTTTGCCCGTATTATTACAACGCGTTGTTTATATTATTTGACAATTCCGAATTTCGGTATTTAATTTGGAGTTAAATCTCTTTTTGTATAAAATAGCAATTTCGTGGAAGTCATTTCCGTATTGTTAATTAATTTAATTAAACGTTGATGTTTACAAAATGTAACCAATTGCAAGCCAGTAAATTAATGTGAGGTAGAATGACACACGATCTGCAAAGGACGCTTGAAATACTTTAATTATGGACGCAATATGGTCTGTTGTTCTAAACGCCATTATTTTGGTAAATATTTGAAGCAAATTGTAACACCGACTATATCCACATCGGTCAAAATAGCATTTATTCAGTTTATATACATTAGTAAGATCAATCTTTCTTCGAATAAAAGATTATATTCTGGGAACTCACTTCCATGTTTTAAAGCAAGAGATTCTTGTTGGTATACTATAGCAAATAGCGAAATGCTTCAATTAGCCTCGTTTTGCATTGCTAATTAATTGTTCAAATTTCCATATATTATTGCGTCTCAAAGTAGCGATTCTCGCGGGTCAGTGTAAGTCACTTAAAATAATACGCTGTTTATATCCTCTTGGGTACAATGGACACCTTACGAGCTACCTTGGAACCGGCAAAATTTTATTCATTATATAACATTTAAACACAAGTGCAAATATGGAAAGTTTTCAACTTGTCTCTGGTGGTACGGCCACCCTGGCGGTAAGGACACCGTGTTTACGAAACAGGGTTCCCCTTGTAGAAGCGACATCTCTTGTCCATGTAAACAGTTTTTCGGCCTCCATGGCTGACTTTTCATTTCCAGGCTTTTAAACAGTAATCGACCAGGGAATACGGACTATGTGTTGAAGGATATTTTGAATGGAGAAATCACTATTTTCATTGATTGACACAAAGTGGAAACATTGCATGATGCTGCAAAATTGATGCTCGTTTTGACTGAATGATGCTCGTTCTGAATTATGTATGTTTGATTCGAATAGGTGTTGATTGAATTGCAAATACGGAAATTCTCCTATTTGATATTCGATTTGACAAACAGCCGTTCAATTTGAATGTATTTGATCGATTCAATTATTGATTTACATATCAGTCTGCTCGATTCCAGTAAGCGTTGCTCGATTTGTATGATTGATCTTCGACTTATAACTATTGAATATTGACGGTAGAAATACACCGTATGTATCATTCAGGTATACATTTAATATCATTGCAACAATAAGACTGTCACTAAATGCCTGTTTAGCATTTTTCAGGGATATAATCAATCTTTATCTCCGTCTTAGATAGTGTGTCACTGTCTCTCTAGCTCTTCCAGTGATATGAGCTCAGTACTATAAAGTGCTATTTTCATTGAAATAAGTCCAAAAAAAATGAAAAACCCGATCCCCCTAAGGCTTTATAAACGACCGTAATATTCATGTTGAAGTACGCGTCTAAACTGGATGTAGTAAAAATATACGCGTTCTGATTTGCTGAATGCCAAAATGTAAACAAATGCTATGATTGGTCAAAACCAAAATTCGCCCAACAAAATGTTGTTTCAACAAGTCTGATATCATCTCCATGTAACAAGGTTGTTAACATGTTGATGATAGTACTATATAAGTTCGTAGCAACTTGTTACGGAAATTGTGTATTAGTCGTGTTGATCGTTTCTTCTTAGCTTTATTTCGTTAAATCAAACATAATTTTGT